AGGAATTTTGAAATCTAAAAATTTGGATCTTTGGAAATTTGGATATTTGAGAATTTGGGTATCTAGAGATTTCGGTACTTAGGAATTTGGCAATCTAGAGATTTCGGTATTTAAGAATTTGGATATTTAGAAATTTGGACCTTTAGGAACTTTGAAATCTAAAAATTTGAGACTTTAATTTTGGTACCTAGGTATTTCGGTATTTAGAAATTTGGGTATCTAGGGAATTTTGTCTGTAAAGATTTAGGGTCTATAGTATAGATCTAGGAATGTGGAAGCTTAGAAATATCACGGTCCAGAGATCCGATAACCTAAAATTTGTGGTCGTAGTTATTTGAGACCTCTAAGATAAGGAATCCAGGAATTTGGGGACCAAGAGATGTGGAATCCTAGATATCTCAGAATATAGAGATTTAGATAGTTGGAAATTAATGAATCTGTATATTCAAGCCTCTGGGAGTTTTGGTATTTAAAAATTTGAAAGCAGAAAATTTGAAAACTTGAAATCTCTAAAACCTGAAAGGTTAAAAATTTGAAAACCCAAGAACTGAAAAACTTGAAAGCCCAAGAACTTACAAACTTGAAACCCTACGCCCACAAAAACTTGAAACCCTACACCCACAAAAACTTGAAACTCTACACCCACAGAAACTTGAAAACCCAAGAACTTACAAACTTGAAATCCTACGCCCACAAAAACTTGAAACCCTACACCCACAAAAGCTTGAAACCCTACACCCACAAAAACTTGAAACCCTACACCCACAAAAAATTGAAATTCTACACCCACAAAAACTTGAAAACCCAAAAACTCAAAAGCTTGAAACCCTACGCCCACAAAAACTTGAAAACCCAAGAACTCAAAAACTTGAAGCCCTACGCCCACAAAAACTTGAAACCCTACACCCACAAAAACCTCAAAACCCAATAACTCAAAAACCCCAAACCCTATCCCACAAAACCCCCAAATCAAAAACCCAAAAAACTTCCACCACACCTAAAAAAAAATTAGACCACGTTCAAAAATTCAACCAAACAAAGATTCGTGAAAAGGAAATTCTTCAAGTTCACTCGAGCGATAGTCCCGAGAAAGGACACGTTGCACCCGAGTGTACACAGAGCCTTCTTTCAGATTGATCGGTAATGAGCTCAAACATGCCATTGACCTCCTTTGCAGAGGAAACCTGTTCCAGGCTCGAAACTTCGCTTCTTTCCTGCTTCGTTACCCCACCTCTCTCTTCTCTTCTCTTTTCCTACAAGTTTCGACCCCTTTTCCTGCGGATACTCTCGCACGGATATAGCATGTACCGTTTCGTGCCTGATGGAGGAACACTTTTACTGGAACGTGCTCTTAACCTTCTATCAGGGTCACTTTGTTTCACGTGGGTGATCATGTGCGCGGTATGGACCTTCTCTTGAGAGTCCACATTTTTTTCTCTCTACTTTTACCGTTCGAAAGATGGTTCTGATCATATGTAGAGAAAAGGAGGCATTAAACATTCGTTGTTGATTAGGAGATATCTTTGTAAGAAGAGTGCTAGAAGTGTTGACTATGGAATATTGTAGTTTAAGATATTGGTTTAGGGTTTTAGGTGTAATGGATGAAAATGTGGAACTTTGGGGAGATGGAAAGTTGGAAAATTTAGAATTTTGGAAATATGGAAGGTTGGAAAATTTGGGAAATTAGGATTGTGTGGGTGGGGGATGTGGGAGTTGGTAATTTTAGAATTTTGGGATTATTTAGTTTGGAAGTTTGGAAATTTGGAAATTTGGAAATATAGAAATTGGGGAAATTTGGAAATTTGAGAAATTTGGGAAATTTGGGAAATTTGGGAAATTTGAGAATTTGGGAAAGTTGAGAATTTGGGAAACTTGAGAATTTGGGAAATTTGAGAATTTGGGAAACTTGAGAATTTTGGGAAATTTGAGAATTTGGAAACTTTGAGAATTTGGGAAATTTGAGAATTTGGGAAATTTGAGAATTTGGGAAATTTGAGAATTTGGAAATTTGAGAAATTTGGGAAATTTGAGAATTTGGGAAACTTGAGAATTTTGGAAAACTTGAGAATTTTGGGAAATTTGAGAATTTGGAAAACTTGAGAATTTGGGAAATTTGAGAATTTGAAAACTTGAGAAATTTGGGAAATTTGAGAATTTGGAAATTTGAGAATTTTGGGAAATTTGAGAATTTGGGAAACTTGAGAATTTTGGGAAATTTGAGAATTTGGAAATTTGAGAAATTTGGGAAATTTGAAAATTTGAGAAACTTGAGAATTTTGGGAAATTTGAGAATTTGGGAAATTTGAGAATTTGGAAATTTGAGAAATTTGGAAAATTTGAGAATTTGGGAAACTTGAGAAATTTGTGTAACTTGAGAATTTGGAAATTTGAGAAACTTGGGGATTTCGAACTTTGGAACCTCGAAAATTTGGAAACCTGATAACCAGGAAATATTACAATTTAAAAACCTAGAAATCCACGTATTTATAAATCTACAATTTTGAAAATTTCAAAATTTACAAACCTCTAAATCAACTAAAAATTTCATTAAACTTCAAAATCCACAAATTTCCTATAATCAAAAAATAAAAACTAAAGATCCACCATTACAAAATTGCATAACATTCCAATCCTAAAGTATCCTTCTTAAACCCCTAATAAAAAGACCACAAAGCACCAGGAAATATTAAAAAATGCTTCCACACAAATTGATAACAACAAAAGTCAAGAAATGTATAATAGCACAGATGCATGCAATAAAATGCAGTGGAAGGCCATAAAGGCGGAACGCGTTCATACATATTCCTATTAATGTATGTATATGAGATGCAATTTAAAATATAGAGTGATATCAATGACAAATGAAGAATCGAATACGAATTGAATAGCAAAGAGGTAATTGGAACAAATGTATAGATGTTTGGACAGCGGCCTAAGTTGTGTGATTATGTATTGAAATACTCTGCATACAATCTCGGCGAACAATGATACGAAAACTTTCACGTGACTAAAAAACACATTACAAGTAGAACGAGACTCGATTGCCAGACGTTTTTATATTTTTGAAAGTATTTGTTAGTAGGTCAGTGGATTTTCGATCGTGAAGACGCTTTGGATGGTTTAGTTAGATATTATACTGCGGTATAATTCCACGCACTGTAATTTTACACGTTATAATTCCACGCACTGTAATTCCACGCGTTTTAGTTCTACGCATTATAATTCTACGTGCTTTAATTTCACGCGTTACAATTCCACGCGCTTTAATTTCACGCGTTACAATTCCACGCATTGTAGTTCTATACATTGCAATTCTACGCATCGCAACTCCACGCGCCATAATTCCACGCCTCGCAACTCTACGCGTCCTAATTCCACGCATCGCAAATCCACGCGCTGCAATTCTACGCGCCGTAACTCCACGTGTCGCAACTCCACGCATTATAATTCTACGCGTCGCAACTCCACGCATTATAATTCTATGCATCGCAACTCCACGCGCTGTAATTCCATGCATTGCAATTCCATGCGTCGCAACTCCACGCATTGCAATACTACGCGTCGCAATTCTACGTGCTGCAACTCTACGCGCCGTAACTCCACGCATTATAATTCTACGCGTCGCAACTCCACGCGCTGTAATTCCATGCATTGCAATTCCATGCGTCGCAACTTCACGCGCTGCAACTCTACGCGTCGCAACTCCACGCATTATAATTCTATGC